TTCCGCATAAAATTTAAAACATATAGATAATTCTTAACCATTGCAAAAAACTACATAGCTTAAGCGTGAAAAAAGTCTTTCGTAAAACAATTTAGGCTTACCAGCATCTTATAAATTCAATTTATTGAATTCTATCAACTAGTTGGCAGTAGATAGTCGCGAAAGTCGCAACAAAGTACAATACGTAATTAATTTTTGATTATGCTTTCTAGTTTGACTAAGGACTTTTGACTAAGAATTTGACTAAGAAGTTTCAGGCTGCCGCGAAAATCGCAGCAAGCTTTTCATCTGAAATCTGTTCTGAGTCTGGTTTTAGAATTCTTCTTGAGTATCAAAATTTTTTTAAAATCTGATCACCGCGGAAGTCGCAGCAAATCAAATCTTTTTTCCCATGTTCGGCTGAACCCTCATCAGATCTGCTGCAAAGAAAAAGTCATTTAAATATTTAAAAGCCACGGAAATCGCAACACTAAACTTTTGGCTGTGATAAATTTGTTGACGGAAAAAACTTTTGCTACCGATTGCTACAAAATTCACAGTAAACTGTTAAAAATATGTATTTTATTAGTTTTACAACTACCAGGAAAGACTAGCAGAAAGGAAGAAAAAAGAAACTGTTGGAACGTTTTAAAAAGTCTTGATGAGAAGTGTTTTTGTTTAAGATTTGCTCTTGTGTCAAAGTTATCAATCAAGGTAACAGCCAAAACAAAAATTCGCAAGAAAGTTTCATTCAATCTTTCAGTTCACGTTGAGTTTAATTTTTTCTTTTTGTGTCACAAGTTGACAGGTTAAGCATTTTTTGTCGAGTTTTCTCGATAAACTTTTTTTTCTGATGACATTGAACCAAACATATCTTTCTGGTTTCCACCACTCAGTTGGCGCTTCTTCTGCACTGTATCCTTTTGGTTACTAAACTGACGCCCATCATTTCTTTGCATTTCCTTAACTCTTGGATTTTTCAATGCATTCAAGTCTTTTTCATTATTGACTTGTATAAATCTCTGCCTCCCGGAACTTGTGTCACAAACAACCGACACAGCACAATTATGAGTTGTCGTTACAAAACCTCTGCTCTCGGCCAAGCGTTTCACATAAGCATCCAATGGAGGCAACCGCTCTTTCACCCAAATTGTTTTACCATTGATTGGATTTTTGTGATCATCATACTTTAGTTTTCGCCGGTTCTTGTAGGCTTCAAACTTGTCATTGAAATAAATGAATTTGATTATGACTGAAGGCATAATGTTTCTATCCAAATATTTGTTCGGTAGTATATGGAAAGCTTTCAAACTACTGCCCGAAATCTTGACTTTGAGATATTTGTCCAAAAAATGTATCACATTACTTAGAAATTTCCTCTCATCACGCGGATCAAACGGGGGATTGTCGACAATTATGGAATCCTTTGATGTATAGCGCTCTTGTTGTCGCACTCGAATATCTAACTCATCAACAAAATCTTTAAGTTCCCCGTATTTTGATAGAATTTCTGACTTACTTTCTTCCACCTCGGTTATTATTTTACTCACGACTTCACGAGTTGGCCCATCTGCTATCGCACCCACAAGCTCTTTCCATCGGGCATCCATAGCTAATGCTAAAGTTTTGACGGCGATCGCTGTTACTACTATTGCTTACGGTTAGCTCAATTCGGGACGTCAATTTAGCTGAAATAATTGAACATGTAATTATATCAAATATACGTTAACTGTTCTACCTCAACTTTCGCTTTATCGACCACTCGTAAAAAAACATTTGCACACCACTAAAGATAATTTTTGAAAAAAAGGGGAAAGGGCAAAGCTATTACTGTTATTTTAAGCTGGCTTAGTAGAACTTTCAAGCTATTTTTCAAAGGATCACAAAAAAGTATCAGATCTAGAATTATCTCCATTACCTTTAGTCACATCAATGAACTTCTAAAAAAAGCTGCCAAAAGGAATAGGTTTTGTCTAAATTTTGTTCAATAAGGTTATGCACTTGCTTTTCTTTAACTTACTTGTCAGCAAACGCTATTTTAACGCACCTCGATGTCAATTGGGCGACAGATTGTGCATGCGCTGGAAGATATCTACAATAAGTTTCCTTGCAGTGTACAGCTCGAATTGGATGCAGAGAAATGTTCTCACGTCAAACAAAAATCCACTAGCAGTCAAGAAATAAAAAAAAGCAGTAAATAGCCAGGTAATGCCACTGAATCTGTGATATGTCTTTTTCCGATAGAGCTGAAATAATTGAAAGTGTAATTATATCAAATATACGTTAACTGTTCTACCTCAACTTTCGCTTTGTCGACCACTCTTAAAAAAACCTGTGCACACCACTAAAGATAATTTGTGAAAAAAAAGGGGAAAGGGCAAAGCTATTACAGTTATTTTATGCTGGCTTAGTAGAACTTTCAAGCTATTTTTCAAAAGATCACAAAGAAGTATCAGATCTAGAATTATCGCCATAACCTGTAGTCACATCAATGAACTTTTAAGAAAAAGCTGCAAAAAGGAATAGGTTTTGTCTAAATTTTGTTCAATAGGGTTATGCACTTGCTTTTCTTCAACTTAAAAGTCAGCAAACGCTATTTTAACGCACCTAGATGTCAATTGGGCGACAGATTGTGCATGTGCTGGAAGATATCTACCATACGTTTCCTTGCAGTGTACAGCTCGACTTTGATCCAGAGAAATGTTCTCACGTCAGACAAAAATCCACTAGCAGTCAAGAAATAAAAAAAAGCAGTAAATAGCCAGGTAATGCCACTGAATCTGTGATATGTCTTTTTCCGATAGAGCTGAAATAATTGAAAGTGTAATTATATCAAATATACGTTAACTGTTCTACCTCAACTTTCGCTTTGTCGACCACTCTTAAAAAAACCTGTGCACACCACTAAAGATAATTTGTGAAAAAAAAGGGGAAAGGGCAAAGCTATTACAGTTATTTTAAGCTGGCTTAGTAAAATTTTCAAGCTATTTTTCAAAAGATCACAAAAACGTATCAGATCTGGAATTATCGCCATAACCTGTAGTCACATCAATGAACTTTAAAAAAAAGCTGCAGAAAGGAAAAGGTTTTGTCTAAATCTTGTTAAATAAGGTTATGCACTTGCTTTTCTTTAACTTACTTTTCAGCAAACGCTATTTTAACGAATCTAGATGTCAATTGGGCGACAGTTTGTGCATGTGCTGGAAGATATCTACCATAAGTTTCCTTGCAGTGTACAGCTCGACTTTGATCCAGAGAAATGTTCTCACGTCAGTCAAAAAACCACTAGCAGTCCAGCAATAAAAAAATGCAGTAAATAGCCAGGTAATGCCACTGAATCTGTGATATGTCTTTTTTCGATAGAGCTGAAATAATTGAACCTGTAATTATATCAAATATACGTTAACTGTTCTACCTCAACTTTCGCTTTGTCGACCACTCTTAAAAAAAACCTGTGCACACAACTAAAGAATGTTTTTGAAAAAAGGGGAAAGAGCAAAGCTATTACTATTATTTTAAGCTGGCTTAGTAGAACTTTCAAGCTATTTTTCAAAAGATCACAAAAAGTATCAGGTCTAGAATTATCGCCATAACCTGTAGTCACATCAATGAACTTTTAAAAAAGCCGCAGAAAGGAATAGGTTTTATCTAAATCTTGTTCAATAAGGTTATGCACTTGCTTTTCTTTAACTTACTTATCAGCAAACGCTATTTTAACGAATCTAGATGTCAATTGGGCGACAGATTGTGCATGTGCTGGAAGATATCTACCATAAGTTTCTTTGCAGTGTACAGCTCGACTTTGATCCAGAGAAATGTTCTAACGTCAGTCAAAAATCCACTAGCAGTCAAGCAATAAAAAAGCAGTAAATAGCCAGGTAATGCCACTGAATCTGTGATATGTCTTTTTTCGATAGAGCTGAAATAATTGAACCTGTAATTATATCAAATATACGTTAACTGTTCTACTTCAACTTTCGCTTTGTCGACCACTCTTAAAAAAACCTGTGCACACCACTAAAGATAATTTTTGAAAAAAGGGGGAAAGAGCAAAGCTATTACTGTTATTTTAAGCTGGCTTAGTAGAACTTTCAAGCTATTTTTCAAAAGATCACAAAAAGTATCAGATCTAGAATTATCGCCATAACCTTTAGTCACATCAATGAACTTTTAAAAAAGCTGCAAAAAGGAAAATGTTTTGTCTAAATTTTGTTCAATAAGGTTATGCTATTGCTTTTCTTTAAATTACTAGTCAGCAAACGCTATTTTAACACACCTAGATGTCAATTGGGCGACAGACTGTGCATGTGCTGGAAGATATCTACCATAAGTTTCCTTGCAGTGTACAGCTCGACTTTGATCCAGGGAAATGTTCTCACGTCAAACAAAATTCCACTAACAGTCAAGCAATTAAAAAAGCAGTAAATAGCCAGGTAATGCCACTGAATCTGTGATATGTCTTTTTCCGATAGAGCGTTTACGACTTTTGAAACTCTCTCATTTACCTTTTTAGTTCTTTGTAGCACCTACTTTTTTTGCTCTTCAGAAGTGGAAATTATTCACGGTTATTTAAGCTCCCTCGACTAGCGCGCGTTCGTTGTTCAAAATTGGTGTTTCTTCGGATAGTTAGAAGCTAGTTATGTTAACTTCACAAAACCAGAAAGACATTTGTCTGAAAAGCGAAAGAAGGGTTGGGTTATTCAATGTTGATTCTAGTTGGTTTAAATGAAAACGAATGTCAAGAATTTAAGCTCTATTAGAGTGTTGTTCATTATCAATTTGGTGATGAATATCAATTCGGTGATGAAAAATTGCCGAAATCGGTTAATAGTTTTACATTGAACAAATCAAAACAAAAATGGATTAATTTTAGAAGCTAACTGATCTTCGGTTTACGATAATCAAATAGCGCAATGCCTTAAAGCTCTGTGAATTTTCAGAACGATAATAAAAACTTCTTTGATAAATTTAACCCAATTTGAGAAAACTGGATCAATAGGTAAAACTTTTATTCCGCTGGAAAATTCAATAATTAAATTTCACTTTCACTTATGCAATTAGGAAAGCACCACCACCATACTTCTGTGCCAGCCACGGAAATCTCCAAACATTTCCTAGTCCAATGATAAATGCAACACATGATAGGAGATATTGAGCTTTGTTGTTCCACTTTTCCCTGATCAAAATATCATCGTCTTGACCTCCACTTTTACTGCTGCTCTTATTTTTCGGGTAGCGATTATTGATTTTGAGCAATGAAGCTGGTTTCTTGATAGCCTAAAACAAAAAGAAACAGTGAATATCAGACAAAAAACTTCAATTGTGTGATTGAGGCCTTCCAATCTTATTCTATGTTGAGCATATTTCTGGGGAAACTTGCCCAGACACATCGGGTGCGATAGTTTCAAAAAAAAAGAATGAAAGCCGAATGTGCGAACCATGTTTTCGAACTGAACAATGGATAGAATGAGCTCCAAAAATTGGGTGTCATCTTGTCCTTTCTTATTCGGAGTCGAAATGTCTCGAATTTTGTTCTTGAGCGTGTCTCTTTTGTCCTGCGGAATATCTACACCTCCGTCCTTTTGTCTGAAACAAAAAAAATCCAAATAAAAATAAGCACTCTATAAATCATATAAGTTATATAGAAATCACTACGTTGGAAGTATCGGAACGTTCGATTTTAATACCGTGGTTGCTGCTATATCAAAAATTGAGCAAAAATTTTTGCAAAATTGTGTTTGCAGAAATTGGCGTTGCGGCTCACCGGACGTGCGCTGCAATTTGCAAGATGAGCTATTGTAAGAACCATAACTTACTTAAACTCAAATATTTAACCTCCGGGTTCCTCAGACTGGTTAATTATATATATTTTCTTATAAATGAATCCAATCTGAGTGATAATTACCGACTGTAGCTCTTCATGGCATAGATAATGCAGTCGGAAGCCCCTCCGACACCATCACAGACCACAACTGGTATCCCCTCCCTCAAGGTCTCCAGAACAAAACTAAAGGTCAAAAGGTCACCTCCAACCACGACAACTACAACTGGGACCTTTCCTATGCTTTTCTGCGAAATGCTGCTCTGAACTCTACCAAAAGAGTTAACTTCATGTTTGTTCAGATATGAAAGCAATTGTTGGGTCAAATTCCAGTTGTCTTTGATTTGATTCGGCTCCTGGGAGTCCTCGTGGGTGTCGGTGAAGATGAAGAAGGGGTGACTGGGATTCAAGGGGGTGGTGTTAGGAGTTGCTGCATGTTTTCGTACAACGTAATGAAAGTCCTGGAGAAAAACTAAGCTTCTTAAGGTTGCATGACTTAAAAAAAGAAGTTTTTTTCAATTTGTATAGTAGTCAAAAATAGTAGTTTTTTTTTCAAAGTAATTCAATTTAAACGTTTTCTTTTTTAACTTTATTGACTAATCTGTCGTGGACCGATTTTTTTATTATTTGACTCAACAATTGAACAATTTTTCAACTATTGGGCCTTTTATACCCAATTCCTTCATAAAGAATTTTTTTTAAATCTTGAAACTGTACGCAGAAAACAAATTTATTAAATTAACCAGAGCATGGGCACATTATAGAAATTTGTCAAACTTTGCGTACTGACTATTTATATTTGCGCCAAATGCGCCTTTAGAAAAAAAAATTGACTTGCACCCTAACGGTCTATCGTCCTAAAAGTGATTTCGTCGTAAAATACTACCAAAAAGAGGATGAATCTTGTAGTAGCTAGGGATAACACCCCCCCCCAGCTATACGACTGCTTGATGAGGTTATTTTGTTCACCTGGTGATGGCGTCATCGCTCTTGGTGCTCCTGTTTCCACGTACTGTCCCGTAACTCATTACTAAATATTTCTATTGCATCATAACTGAAAGTTATTTAATCTGTAAGTTAGTGTGAATTCAAGTAGTTATTTACTATCTCGCTAGATTAAAAGAGCTCTTTGTTTTGTTTTGTTTTGTTTTGATTCATGACGCAAGACTCGTAAACTAGAACAACGAAGCTCCATTTGTTCATCAAAGTGAACCTTGAGATGTTCGACGAATTTCAAAAACGAATCATCTTCTTTGTTGGTTGAGAAACAGTATGTTGGCATTTATTGTCTCGATAAAACAAAACTAACCGGGATGATAGTTCAAATAGTAGAGAGATGCAACTATCGGAAAAACAAAAAGAACCTGGGAACGTATGTTAAAAGCAGTCAATTGACATAGTGGAAAAATACGAAGCATCGTCAAAACAACAAAAAACTAACATGGAAATCAGGCAGCATATCCTCATACATCGGCTCTTTTTCCTTCCCTATAAAAAGTATTGTACTTTTCATGGTGTAATTAGTCTGCATTTCAACATAACAGTCAGACATGAGATTGTTTAGCAAATGGTGGGGGGGGAGGAAAAAGAGCCGATTTAGAACCATAAATGGACCTGAAAACAATTGAGCACACGTGGGATATACCCACTTTTACTATGTGTTTACACGCGTTTTTCGGTGTGCATAATTATGTCCCTTGAGATATCCCCCTCGAGAAAATACTAGATCGGTCAACCTGTGTCAGAAAAGATTCTGAATAGTGAACTGGGAGAGCTTGGAAATCCCTAAAAATTCGGTCAACCTAAAAAAAGATCGACACAATTATCGAAAACTTTTGAAAAACTCCACTGCCATCGAGAAAATACTGAACTGCCTAGTTGGGATTGAACAATCTTCAGTTTTTTTTTCAGCAAAATATGCAAGCATCAAAAAATGAAGTTACAAAAGAATGAAGAAGATAGTCCAAAAGATATAAAAAAATAAGTGTAGAAACAAAAAAAATGAGAAAGTCTCATTGCTGCTCTAGGAACAGTTTCAATGCACATGAGTGGCTGAACACCTTGAAGTTTTGCACTATTAATCAATTGAGAAACCAAACGCTTGCAATCGTTTGAAACATCATGCCAAAAAAAGACAAAAAATGGGATCAATTGAGCAATCTCCCCCCCCCCCATTCTCGCGTGGGGGGGAGATAGCTCAATAGGTACTTGAGATATGTTTATAACCACTTGAAAATAGTTTGAATGACATGAAATCATAAAGCATATTTTCCAACGACTGTGGAAAGCCAAAATTTACAATATCAAAGCTCAAAAGTTTCATTCGGATTGAAAAAAGAATCAATAAAACAGCCATAAAAAGCGACTTTTTTCCTTTCTTTACATGACAAAAAGTTTTTGCGAACAATATTAAGGTGCTGCGGAGAACCTTTTTGCTATTCAGGTACAAGGCTAGAGCACCAACCCTGGTAAGTCGCATTTAGAACCATAAATGGACCTGAAAACAATTGAGCACACGTGGGATATACCCACTTTTACTATGTGTTTACACGCGTTTTTCGGTGTGCATAATTATGTCCCTTGAGATATCCCCCTCGAGAAAATACTAGATCTAAATAAGGACGTGATTTTAAACGAGTTTTAGTGTTATTTGATAAAGTAACTATTTTTAATGAAAAAAACAAGACACGTGACAAAAGTTCAGAACTCATTCGAAAATTTCAAAAAAAAAAAATTCAGATCTGATCATGTCTGATGCAGTTCAGGACAGACATGCAATCTCACAACAAATGGATTCAACCTGGGCATATCTGTATTTTTATTTTATTTCCGTAACATTAAAATTGTTGTATCTTCCAGGTCTGAACATGTCTGATACAGTTCAGGGCAGATATGCAATCTCACAACAAATGGATTAACCCTGGGCATATCTGTATTTTTATTTTATTTCTGTACGGGTTTTGTTGTGGAGTCCAGAAATGATTAATCTTCCAGATATCAAAACGTTAAAATACATTTTAATTTTCAAAAACGCTTAATTTACTTAACAAGTTTAATTCAAACTCATTTGCTATAAGGTAGGCAAATTTGACTCTCCAATTACAAAATAGTACAAACATGGTTTTCAGTTTCAAAAATGATCCTTTTTCAGACATACTAGTTGAATATAAAAAGAACCAATTGACTCAGTTTTATATTTTTGTATATTCTTTTCTCCGAAAATCGAAATGTGAAAATTGGTTCAATCATTTTTTGACTTCAGTAAAACAATGAGGGTTTCCTTATACTTGTCTGTTTTTTGTGTTTAAAATTTTACTACTGACTTCATCATACTTTTGATTTTAACTTTTGATGAGTAAAACAAGAATTTTGATAGAAATCTTGCAAAAAAAACGATTATTCGCTTAGTGGTGTAACAAATCAAACTAAAAGGGTTGTCATTTATCAGGTGTACTCCAAAATTGATGAAGAGCTGAAAACAATCGGGGCCCAAGAAGCAGGTGCTTGTGCAGACTTTACAAAAAATATCTGTATAGGTGGAACTGTAACCGGGTTCACCTGTTACCCTACTCGTGGGTCGCCACTGGTCATAGGGAATAACAGTGGAGTCTATTGTCTGTATGGAATAGGCAGCAGAGTCGCCTCCAACTGTTCCGCAGTATCTCTGTTCACTCGTGTTAGTGCATACGAGAAATGGATAAACGACAAGTTTATTGGCTTGTGAACTTCGTCAGAATCTGAACTGACATTATGAACCAAGGAAACTAAGTACGATGGGCGCAGGAAATGACTGCGAGTTTTGTAACTACTTTTATGATAAATAACAACTTTGTTGCGTTATATTGATTTTTCTTGGAACTTTAAAACTTGAGTAGAAGGCTATCCATATAAATACGTATCACCCTAAATTAAATCAATACTGTAGATTGAGTGTCGTCATAATATCACGACACTCAATCTACAGTGCTGATTTAAATTAACCGGACAAAACGCATTAAACTTGAAATTTAAAACGCGTTTTTCTCAAGTTGGGTTGAGTTTAGGTGGAAACTTATGAAGACAAAACTTGCTTAAAATTTTAGCAGAATTAATATGGTGGAATTTGTTTTGCGAAATTTGGGCCCAAATTTTTACCCCAAAAAGGAGTCATTTCGGCGTTTCTTAGTTAATCAGAAATTACGCCAAAAATACCCAGTCGGTCACAGACATAATTATATCAAAGTGAGCCTCTTACGTAGCCCAACAAACTTTAAGAAGGGTATGTTCTGTGGAATTGTATGCTAAGCATTTTCGGTGTATGGAGATCAACCCGGGTAATTTATATCAGCACTGTATTTCTCATAAAATTGAACAAGCCGGTGGTTTTAAGGCTATATGATAAGGATACGTGAAGACATAATCGGTTTTTTTAGTTAACCTTAGCTGTTAAAACTCCTGTCGATTTTAACCTCTTTAGTGAACTAGTTTTCACTATTATCATCAGTTCGCATTTGAAGAAAAAACATTTGAGACTGAGACGTAAGATTTGAAAAACTTTGCTCAAACACAAAATGAAAAAATAAAGTTAAAAAAAGAAAGCAAGTTTTCCGCGAGTATTTTGAACAACAATTTAAAAATTTTAGCACGCAACTTCAGTTGCTTAATTTATTTTCTAACTAAAACCATTAATGTAACTGTTATTTTGAACTGCATGGGTCATATGAACTTGAAATTTAAATCAGCGAATCTGAAACTTAAATCCTCCTATATCTCTTGTTAATTGAAAACACGAGTAGATCTTATTGATTGATTCTTTCATATAACGCTCACTCGGGTCGAGCAGACTCGTTATAAATTTTTAGTTTTCACTTGCGGGTTAACAAAGATTCACAATTTTTTGAAAGACGACGTTTAAATCGACCAGCATACTCCAAATTTAGTACGATGGAGCCAATGGCTCCAAAAATGGTCCAACGAAATTTGATGGGTCGCCCCACTACTTTCACTGGACACATTGGATTTTCTGCGCTCTCCGTGTCGAGGTCGTGGTTTTATGTTCAGACTTGTCAAAGTGCTAAATTAGTTATCCAAGTCTTTTTAGTTCTTGATAGTTCCTTTTGTCAATCATTTCATTTCATTTCAATAGCAGGTGTTTGGCCTTCGGATTGTGTGTCACCTTCGGATTTCACCTAAGCCAATGTCTCGTTTGATCTTATCTAAATCAGTTGTCTCTTTATCTATTCTCTTAATTCAAGTATCGAATTAGCATTTTCAACATGGCGCAGTCAGCAGGCGTAACTGGGCGGAAAAACCCACTTGAAGTCGTGTCATTTTGGCCGGAGAAACATACGGAATTCCCCATGTTGTGGCAATTTTGGCTGAATCGCTTCCAATGGGGAATGGTCGCGAAACACTCTATAAACCCGAAAAAACTACTATTTCGCGGACTCGTTGACGGCTACGCAGATAGCGGCGTTACCGGAGGAGGTGGACGAAAAAAACAGGTTAGCGGCAGAACAAATCCTAATTTCGATCCTATACCTTTGCTTAGGGGAAAGGGGCCCATAGGAGTTGCACAAGCGAAGACCACATTTGGTGTTGGGAGAGGCACGCTACCCGAGGGTGCTCGATTCTATGGAGGGGGAGTTTAAGACGGAGTGAAATGAAACCTACGAGGTGTTCCAGTTATTATCTACAAAGGAAAGAATCGGGGAATCCTTGGAGCAGTTCCACGCTGTTCCTAGTGGATTAGCGGCGCGATGTTCATTTGGGGCATTGGAGTCAAGAGTGTTACGGGACGTTTTCATTGTCAATATGACAAATCGCGAGGCGCAAAACGAGTTACGTCGGGCCACAAAACGCCGGAAGAAACATACAGGATAGCGTTATCATACGAGCGAGGGGATAAGTACGCTAAATCCTATGTTACAACCGGAGGCACAGCGTCGATTAGTACCGGAGGCGGTGGAATTAATATCAAGTCGGCACCGGTGGGAGCCATTTGGGGCGGTTATAGAAATAATCGAGGCAGAGGACGTGGCCATGCGCAAGGCCGTGCATTGTACCAGGGAGGCATCAACACCGGCGACCGAAGGTGTTTCAACTGCGACAAACCCGGATTCACCAGAGAACACATGAATGATTTTGCGGCTCGAAATGTAACCTGTAATTTCTGACGGAAAATGGGGCATTTCGAACGACCATGTCGAGCTGAGAAAACTACTACGGGGCAAT